CCGCCCCGCCGCGTGTGCAGCCCGGGCCCTAAAGGCGGCGGACGCGGTACCAGGAGCCCGCGGTCACGTGACCCGGGCTCCGCCGCCGCGCGCAGGCGCACTCGCTCTGTTGACAGCGGCCGGCTGGCGCCCTCCTGGTGTCCGGGAAGAGGAAGTCCCCAGAGCTTTATTCTGTTCTTTAAGGATCGTCCATGGAGGGCTGCGTCCTCTGTCCTGTTTATCCGCGAAGGACGGGCTCACCAGACTTTCCCTGTAGAGTCTTAGGTCGCGAGCAAGAAGGGAGATACAGATACGCCTGGGTGTATGTTTTATTTTGCGGAGGGTCATCACAGAAACTTCACATTCCTAACCGCGGTCCTCAGCCTCTCCCCAAAGCTGCTCACCTGTGTGAAGGTCGGGTCCAGTTTCTAACAGTCTCTGATTCGAGACTCAGGATCCTGGGGGAGATTCTCCAGCCGCAGGGCAGACCACGGTGACGGTCTCTGCAGATACGCAGAGCAGAGCATTGCTCTTGGTCCCTGTCTCTGTTCACATACTGTCCAGACCGCTTCTTGAGGTTCTAGGCCTGTGTCTGGTCATCTTGAGTGAGTGATGTCCCTGGCTTCTGGTTCAGGTGCAGCCTTGAGTGCAGTGAGGATCCTGACTAAGCTACTTTTGCGTGTCTAAAAGGCATTTCTCACTATGTTCATTACACCTTCCTGAAGCTCAGCTTTGAGTAATAAATGCTTTTGGTTAAGATAAACTTGAGAGTTAACCCTCCTACCATGGCTCTTTACGCTCATGCCTGCTTGACTCCCCTTACCCCATTTTTGTTTCCATATCACCACTGTTACATTATCTGTCCCCCTTTAGAGGCTCCCCCACACCAGTAGTCCTTTTTAAGTTGTATGGCTTTTATGGTATTCTACGTTGAACACACAACTCTAAAGATCCCAAGCTAGGATCCGCTTTTATTAGTGCAAGCTTTCAGTGTGTAGGTACAAAGGAAACTCCATTTCCCCAAATTAGGGTGGTTAAACAAAAGTTATTCCTCAGGAACTTGTGAAGCCAGTTTTCCTCTACCAAAAGGAGCCTCTCCTTTGTCGCTGGCGGAAGGGACAAATGGCTGTTTTATGTCTGTTAGCATGCTGGCCTCCACGCTGTCAGTGCCATTATTACCTGTTACACATTTCAGAGTCCATGTTAGCGTCCGTGGCCTTCTGTTCCCCCCAGCTACTCATTCTCTTTATAACCTGGCTCTTTGGCCATACTCCTTTTTCTCCCCCCTCTGTCTCTCGCTCTTGCTCTGCTCCTGCTTCTCATGGCCAGGTCTAGTTTGCTGGCCATGTTCAGTCTACTACTGGCTATCTGTGCTCTGGACTCTTCCATAGTTTCACTTTTCTTTACAGCTGAATAAAATTCCATTATGTATTGTCAGGTCCAAAGGGTATCCCAAGCACTCCCAAAGGGCAGGCCCACTGACTTGGTCCAAAGTTGAGTCTAGGATCAGCTTAAGATGAACTGTAAAAAGATTTCTGCTGCTTAAATTAAAGACAGAATTTCTCAGGAATTTGTGAAACACATTCCTTGTGTGCCAAAAGGAGTCATTTCCCTTGCCTCTTGCAGAAGGGATGTATGGTTCTCTGTTGGTATACACCTATGGCACCCATCAGCATTTCAAAACCCATGCTAGCCTCCAGCCCCCTACAGTTCCTTACAAGTACCCAGTGTACATTTCAGTATCCACACTAGCCTCCCAGCCCTTCTCACACATACCCACTCTTCCTCCACAATGCTAGCTCCCAGGCTGCTGTGGCTCTCAGGCTTCGCTCCTCCCAAATAGCTATCCATTCTCTGTATAAAAGCAAGGTTTTCTTCCACCTGCCCTCACTATTCTCACTTCTCTAGCAGATGACCCTAGCTGTGTCCAGTCTGTTTTATTTCTCTCTCTGCTTTGGGCTCTTCCAGATGCCTCTGGCTGTTCTCTCTCTCTCTCACACACACACCTTCCTCCTGATGAAGGAGTGGCCATTTCAGTGGCTTCCTTCCCACGGCCTCACGTGTATATACACATTTTTGTTATCCATTCTATATGTAGACTGATTCCATTTCTTATACATTGTGAGTAAAGCATCACCAAACATGGTTGAGCAAATATCTCTATGGTAGGATATAGAATTCTTTTAATGCCTTCTTGGGATGTTTTCTCTGTCAATTAAAGAATTAAAAGGCAAGAAAGATGTTACCAGAAATCCTAGGGAGTCCCAGTGGAGACATTATATGATACCTGGCAAATCAGGGTCCCCTCATTGAGGTTCTTAATCTTATTAAAATAATTTAAGAATGAAAACAAACAGGAGCTTGAGGACCATTTATTATCGATTTAAAGGAAAACCCTGGGGGCAAGCAAGCTATAAATCTATCTATGTGTTAGGTTGCAAAGCTGTGCTCCTGTCTCTATTTTCTGTGCACTACAGGCATGTGCCATTGTGCCCAACAAACATTATCTTAAGGGGGACAAAAGGTATTATAAAAACCTAATTGAAATTCCTCAAGTGTATTTTAAATATGACTAAATATCTGTGTTGGTTAGTTTCTGCCAGCGTGACACAAACAGGGTCCTTTGGGAAGAGAGAATCTCAACTGAAGAATTCTCTGCATCAGGCCGGTCTATGGACAAGTCTGTGGTGCATTTTTTGGATTACTGATTGATGTGGGAGGTCCCAGCCCACTCTGAATGGTGCCTTCCCTGGGCCAGTGGTCCTGAGTTGTATAAGAAAAGAAGCTGAGTGAGCCATGGGGAAGCAAACCAGTAAGCAGCTTCCCTCCATGATTCTCATCTCTGCTCCTGCTTGAATGCTTGCCCTGGCTTCCCTCAGTGATGGGAATAAACACTTTCTTCCCCAAGTTGCTTTTTGAGGACAGTATCTGTGCCACTTAGAGTAAAAACCACTGAGCTTTTCCACAATTGATACTTTTTTTATTTAGTTCATGGTTTCCAACTAAAAGTTCTTCCCCTGTTTCCAAAATGACCTGAACATTTTTTAATGCTACAGATGCACTTTTACTTCTTGTGGTAATGAATATACATAGGCTGCCTGGAGGTCTAGGTATGAATTAAATAATTTGGCATAGGCTGGATGCTTCAGGGCAAACTTCCTAAAGGTCATGTATGACACTTGCGCTGAATCCTTGCCAGCTATCTGCTGAAAGAGTGTGGAAACATCTAGGTTTGGCACTCCAAAAGCTGCACGGAGTATAGTTGTTAACTCTTGTTCTGTTATATAGCCGTCCTCATCAAGATCAAAAAGTTTAAATGACATTTGCAGAATCTTCTCCGTGTTGGAAGGGTTGCACAGGACAGTTAGACCTATCACATACTCTCGGAAGTCTATGGTGCCATCGTGATTCCTGTCAAAGAGAGAAAAAAGCTGTCTCAAGGGCTCTGAAATTGGGAGTTTTAAATGATTTGAAAACTCTTCAATTCCAATCTTGCCTCCTTTTGAGGAGACTGCAATTGCAGCATATTTGTCCAAGTGCTTGTGGATATTGTCCCAATCTAATTTCAATTTCTGACTGATTTTCGTAAATTCCACCAAACCAGCTTCCATGGGTAGTTGAAGGGCACCAGCAGAAATCATCAGTCTGCAGTCTTCGAAAGTGTGTTCCGTCACAGGGAGTCTCAAAGCATTTGCCATGTTGATTCGGACTGTGTTGGCAAAAAGGACGGGGTCTTTCTTCTCTTCTTCACTCGGGATATAAACAGGCATAAACTCAACTTCCACTCTAGTGAAGGGCTGACTCAGAGTCAGCATGCATGCCTGGAAGCCTGTGAACCCCTGCCAGGTCCAGGTCACGGTGTCCAGGGTGTTGGGGTACCTCAGCAGCACCGGCTGCACAGGGACGCCTGGGGAGAAGGCTCCTAGTTTAAACGTGACCAGACAGGAGCGATTGGTGCATACTCCCTCCGGGAAAATCAGAATCTGCGGCCACTTCATTGTGGATATCACTCGAGTCAGGATTTCATTCCGGGTAGTCTTTCTAGAATTCGGGTCTTCGCGTTTCACAAGCACAGGCTGAGTTGACAGGAGGCATTTCCCAGCCAATGGAATCTGCACATTCTGACTTGCAGAGACCACAGAAGGGAGCCCTGCCACAATGACGGCGATGGCGTCAAAGAAGGTGGAGTGTGGCGCGGTGACGAAGATGGGGGCCTCCTCTCTGGTGGCCCTTTTCCCCTTCACCTTAATCAGGAACCCAGCAAGAAAGAACGTCATACGAAACAGGAACAGGAGCGCTGGCTTCATCAGATGTTTCCGCCAACTCTTCATGGGTTTGGTAGGTTGAGTAGGCAAGTTAATGGTGGTGAGTGTGGCCATCGGCCAGAGGAAGATGAAGAGGAAGGCGATGCAGGACACACGCACAGGTACCAGCACGGTCCCCAGGAGGATGGTGCAGGCCCAGCGCCAAGCACTGAGGTGAGTGTGCTGCATGAAGGGGTTGGCCACCGCAGGGGAGAATAAGGACCTGTTCACCTCCCGGGCAATCCCGCTGTCCCACACCTCCAACTCGGTGGTGTCTGTGGTCAGTCTGCGCTGGGTCAGATGAGCCATGACGCCTGCTTCTCAGCATGTGAGTATCCCTTTCCCCACACTCAGGAACCATTTCCATTTGCACATAATTAGCACTCTTACAGCCAATTAATGGTTAATAGGAAATGATGCATTACCTTTAAAAATCAGAAAAAAAATCACAGGGGAATTAGGATCTCATCAAGACAACACCACAGTGTGTTGTTTTGACAGGTACGGTTTAAAATCTTTCACATAACAATGTCTGGTACTTATTCATATATACTTACTAAGGAGATACTAATTTGAATGAATAAATATTAATTACAACTTTCAAATTTAAGTGATAATGCCAGTAAGTTTTGCTATGGGCTGCTTTGAAGACTCATGAAATTCATCATTGTCCCTACAGAATGATTTCTTTGCTGATGGTCAATATCTCTTTAGGCTAAGAAGGCTAAGTAATGGCACCTTAAACACTTGGGTCATGAGCACTTTTCCATACACACAGAAATTCAGGGAGGAATAGATTTGAAGAGAGGAAGAGGTGGAGGACAGAGGGTAATGGGCTCTGTGACCTAAGGGCAGGAGGGCTTTGTATGGAAGGAAGGGGACCAGTAGGAAGCGGAGAACAAAGGGGATGGGGGAGGATGAGTGTGAAAAAAGCATGACATATGTGAGTGAAATGCCATAATGAAACCCACCACTTAGAAAATTAATAATTCAAAAAGGAAAAATTAGAGCACATTAATTCTAATAGGTCAGAATTGACCATGGCATGTGGGATTTATTGCCAGGAGCATCCCCGGCAGTGGACAGGTCCCACCAGAGGATGATGTAAGGAGTTGGCGAGGGAAGGAGGTGAGCCAGGCCAGGGTGGTGGTGAGAATCTTGCAGCCTGACTGACTAGCAGCCAAAGTGCTTCTTTATACATACAGAATTCAGTAAGCAGGCATAGATTCATGTAGTTCCAAAACACAGATCATATCATTTTTGGTTTTGGACATGTGTTTCACTTTTTTTTGCATAACTTTTAGTCATGATTAATAAATTATGACAGAACAGAGTTGTCATTTCCAATCATTTTCCCTCAAGTTTTGGCATCATTAATAAACAGAATTATCATTTTTACTCATTAACCCGTAATCCAGTTTTTAAGAATCTAGAGGCATATGACAGCCTGTTTTCAGTCTGGTAGCTCTGGTTGCTACAAGGACACTAGACCAAAACAAAATCTTCAAGATACCCTGGGCATTTTGCCATGTCCTAAGCAGTGTATTATTAACTCTTAGTGGTCAGAGTGCCCAAGAAAAGTCTCAAGTCAAAGCTACTGCAGTTATTATTCAAATTCTGGCATAATACAATGTTTACATTTTATATATTCATAAAATTTTTAATGTCTAATCCTGGCATTCTGTTGTTCCTTGTTCACATGACACCACAGTGACTCTGCATGTGCTAACTTTCTAAGAAAGGGAGGTCCTGACATCTCATTCTTATATCATTTTTACATCATTCTTTGTTTATTAATAAGTTTCTGTATAGGGTGGAGGTAACTTCAGCTAGTCTAACTTTATTGCTGTATATGCCACATAATTGCCTGAGTGTACAGTGGGAAGAGACTTACAATCTGATCTGTGGGCAACTCCTCTAGTCTACCAGATCATGTTGACCTTTTCAAGTTTACTTTGTTTTGATTACCTTGTTCCTGAGTAAGTACATGGACAAATGTTTCAAGACTGTCTCATAGCCTCATAAAGAGACCTCTGGCTTCTTTATGTGTATTATAACCTTCAAGGTGTAAAGAAGACCTTCAAGTAGATAAGGATGTCTCCTTACAAGAGGAAGTGGTACTATGTTCAGGACTTTCCTGGGGAGGCTTAGAAGCAATACTCCTGGGAGAAGGCATAAATGATTCATAAGAAAATTTCCATTGACCCAATATCCTCCAATTGTACAAATATTAAAAGTCCCCCAAGTATGCAACAGGTGGAGATGAAAACCAAAGGTGGCATGGCGGCCATCACTCTAAACTGATACTACATGAGAAAAAAAAACTATAAAATCAACTTTGCCAGTAAGTGGACTTTGACTAAAGTAAGATCTACTTTACTATGTCAACACAGTCTCCAGGACATGTTCCTTCTTTGATGCTGTCCTTCGGAAGCCCAGTCAGTGTGAACCAGGCTTTCTTCTAGACCTGGTAGCATTCTTGACTTTGGCAATGCTGTATTGAGGATTCCTGCTATGTTTGCTAATTTCTAATTTGAATTCCTTTTCCCTGAACTAAAATGATTATTTAAGCCCCTGAGTTTCCATCTGTTGACGTACATTAGGTTAGCCATACACCAGGAAGAGTGCTATGGATACCAAAGCTTGATAAGCAAGGTGTCAGCCACTGGAAGGCCACTTCCCGGTGCCAGCATTCACACACGGGGACAAGTTACACGTCAAACTTCTTCTCCTATCTTTCCATTGCTGATGATACTCCCTACCTTATGCTTTTGTTATGAGCCTCCAGCATAATGTTCATAAACAAACTGAGCTTTTATTGTTGCTATGGCACAGTAAGAATTCTGAGGACACTCCACACTCTCCTGTCACTATCAGGACTGTCTGTAATGAAGGAAATGTCACTAGGGTGCTGTGACTTGCCAAATGCTCATAAATGTCTCCTTTGCCAAAGAAGACATCCCAAGACAGTGGGCAGCAGCAGACTTGAGTCACACTGCCCCTGTCCTGTGACTACAATGTTCATTTCTACCTTCAGCTTTCTCCTATTAAAAAAAAATTTACTAATTTTTAGTCTTATGTGTATTAGTGCGAGGGTGCCAGATGCCCTGGAACTGGAGTTACAGACAGTGAACTGTCATGTGGGTGCTGGGAATTGAACCCGGGCCCTCTGGAAGAGCGGCCAGTGCTCTTAACCTCTAAGCCATCTCTCCAGCCCCTCTTTCAGTTTTCCTTAATTGCATTCTGTATATAGTTCTTAGAAAAAGTTATCATGCCATCTTTCTTTTATATTCTATGTGCCTGATGTGGTGTGGTGTAATATTTGATTATAACATATTGCATTAGTTAGTCCCTGGTCCCTCATTCGTGGTTTCAGTTATCTGTGGTCCACCAGGGTTTAAAAATATTAAGTGAAATTTAAAAAAATTAAGTGAGAACACAGAAATAACGCATAACTGTTTTAAATTGTACAATAGTCTGAGTGGTGTGATAAAATCTCCACTGTTCAGCTTCATCCCTTCTGGGGATGTAAATTATCTCTGTCTGGGATAGTCAGGCTGAATGTGGATCTATCCAGCCAACTTTCAGATCAACTGCTCTGATGTGCAGCACTTATGTAAAATAAAATTTGCATTTTGCTCAATGTTACTTAATTTCACTCACTAATGGCCCCCAAAATGCCAAAGAGAAGCCGAGTAAATACTACTTCTAATTGAAAAGGGAGATGTTTTCCATGACAAATGAAAAAAAATACTGTAGTGGGGTGTTGGTGGCGCACGCCTTTAATCCCAGCACTCGGGGAGGCAGAGCGAGGTGGATCTCTGTGAGTTCGAGGCCAGCCTGGGCTACCAAGTGAGCTCCAGGAAAGGCGCAAAGCTACACAGAGAAACCCTGTCTCGAAAACCCTCCCCCCAAAAAAAAATTTAAAAAAAGATTCTATTATGTATGCATGATATGTTGACTGTGGATCTCTGCCTCTGTTTCCATCAGTTACTGGATGAAGGATCTATGGTAATAGGGTATTCACCAATCTGGTCACATGGGAAGGCCAGTTCAGGTACCTTCTACTCTATTGCTTGTACTCTAAACTGAGGTCATCCTTGTGGATTTATGGGAATTTCCCTAGTACCAGGTTTCTCCCTAATCCCATAGTGACTCCCTCTATCAAGATATCTCTTTCATTCTACAAGGATTCTTAAATTCTTGCCAAACTAGTTGCTTTTTGTTCTGTTTTATAAAGAGTCTCATTGTGTAGCATACGTTATCCTCAAAATACCAATCCTCCTTCCTCAGCTTTCCAGATACATGAATTACAAGTATATATTAATATACTTTACCTCTATCATTGTATCTTATTATGGTTAATTTTTATGTCCCAAATGATTGGAGATTGGCACTCCCTCTAACATTACCTAGCCATTCACTGACCTTTGAGAAATGACTATCAAGTCTCTTGCCTGTTTCATAATCAATTTATTTTTCTTCTCTACAGTTTCTTCACTTCCTAATACGTTTGGTTAGTCCTTTAAGAAAGTGCAATTTGCAAATACATTCTCTAGTTCTACAAGTTTGCTTTACAGTGTGTTTGTTCATTTGCCATGGAGCTTTCTACTCTGTTTACATTTCTGTTGTCTTACCTTCCCTTCTATTGTCCTCCTTCTCACCTTCTTTCACTCATTTTCCTTTCTTTGAGGGCTTTGCACAGTTCCTACTATTTGAAGATAGCCTAGGCTGTCCCTCAGACTCCTTCCTCAGTCTTCCTAGTGCTGACACTATAGTTAATTCCAACTGGACAGAAGTCTGAAGTTGTATGAAATCCTGTATTTGATTCAGACAAATATTGCTACAAAGTTGTTTTTTTTAATATTGCTTTCCCTTATTGTGTAAATTTAGGACATTGTGTTTCTGATTTGTGTTTCTTCAAGATATCTTAAAATTTCCCTTTCTAACATTGGTTTGACCCATTACATCTTCAAATGAGTATTTCTTAATCTTGATATACTAATCAGTTTCTGAAATGTTGTTCTGTTGATTCTATTGTCCAAATATTGTGGTCACAAAAGAAATGACATAATTTCAATCTTCATAAATTTGGCGACTGTACAATCTTTTGCTGTAACACATGATGTTCTAGAGTATGCTTTCTATACTCTGGAGTGTATATTCTCCTTCTATAGGATGGAAGCAGCCTAAAAACTGAATCTCCATTGTTTTCTAAACTGTTTTGTTCACCATTAACTTCAGTTTGATTTGTGCAATACCAAAACTGCTTTGTTTGAGTCTCCCACTTTAATCATATTGCAATATGTCTTCATCAAGCTCATCACCATTCACTTAATTTTATATTAATTCTTTATATTTATATTAATTATCTGCATATTAATTGTTCTACTGTTATGTGTTATGCTGTTATGATTTTTAAATCTTTGGTGCATTGTCCCCTTTTTCTTTTTATTGTACCTTCTGACTCTCCTTTTTTTTTTTTTACCATGAGTTTAGTTTGGTGTAATTACTACTAAGCCTGCTTCATTCTGCCTTTTATCTACTGGAAAAATAATTTCCATCGCCTTCCTTTCCAGTTTAGGGCCTTCTTGAAAGCAGAGCTAGTCCTGTATACACAGATCATTTTCAGTTTTGATGCTTTGAAAATTTTATCCATTTATTATTAATTCTATGTAACCCTAATGAATGAAAATCCATTTATTATCATGATAATTGTTGTTTCTTAATGACATCACTGTATGTTTCCTTCCCCCTCCCGAGTTTTGCTTTATTTTTCTTTGATTGTTTTATAGTACACACTATCCCTAAACTTTATATCTTTCTGCTGCAGACAGACAAGAGCTCAGAAGAGGATCTTGCACAAATGCATCTGTTTTTTTCATCTTTCTACATTATTTGTATTTCCCTTTTGATTGTGATTTTCTTTAGTTTCATATTTTTTTGTTTCTACATATTTTATTTTTGTCTCATGGATATTCTATAGAATGCTTTTTGATAAACAGGGAATTAGTTTATACACAGGAATCTATTTTAGGGTGATCATAATTTTATTTTTATAATTGTACACTTTCACTTCTATTTTTATTTATATTATCATGATTTCCTAGTCTTTAATTTTAGAAAACAAAAATTTTCATTATATTCAAATAATTATATGACTTTAATATATATAATACCTGAGATTGTTAGTAATATATAATACACAATTAATTAATATGACCAAAAACTATGCAACATTGATTTCTGCAAGACTACTGTCAGTTAAACACTAAATTGAAAATAAATAAGTAAACAAACAAATAAACAAATACCACTATTTTGGCAAAAAGAAAAAATACT